TGAGGAAGATGAATCCAGTTTTGAGGCTGAAGAAAGTATGCAATTAATAGCACATTGTTTACAATAATGACCACTTGTTTCATTTCCAATAAAGCTACTGAAGCTGATGAACAAGGTGAAGGTAAGCCAGCATGCATACTTAGATCAGCTACACAATTACACTATTCTTCCTTTGATAGAGGCTCTTGCTGAGGAGAATGACAATGCTGAGGAGAATGACAATGCTGAGGAGAATGACAATACTGAAGGTAAAGTCTTCTATATGCATTACTAATCCTTACTCTTGCTTTCAGTGGCCAGCAATGAGGATAACGTCAATGAAGAGGGTTGCAAATGGCGCTACAAAAACGTTCGTTCCTATTATTATGTACCCCAGTACAGGACCATACGCTATAGGCGTTGCTATCCAGTGCGTAGATCATATAATTGCTCTAAATACGTGTGGAAGACTTACCGTGTACCTATCAAGAAGAGATACTGCACCTGGAAAATCATTGAAGGCACAAGGATCCGCGACTGTCACCGATATGTCACCAGAAGACGTTATGTTTTAGTGCATGCTAGGTGCACTAAGACCATCTGCAGATATTTGCGACAATCCATCAGATATTGCTATGGCTATATTCGCCGTACAAGGTACACTCGCAAGCGTTACTGTTTTTAAACTCATGATGGGATACAGTCATTATTAACTAACTAAACTATTGTAGTTGCTGTTTTAGTATCTTTTTTTGCATAAATTTTTTATTAGTTATTTTTGTCAGGCCTTTATTTTTTGATACCAATAATATTCTGTTACTTAAAGAAGAGTTGAGATCAAATACAAAAGTACTTTAGCAGCTAGAGTTGCCAATAATTCTAGCACTGTTTGCTAACTATAACTCATAGCAAGAGTATATATTTGTTAACAGTAGATGTAGCTTTGGCCAAAAATTAAAGTGCCCACAGCTCAAATTTTATTAGAATCAGTTTAAACTTCCTCTATAACATAAACATATGGACATATTAAAGAAATCATCTTTAAAGTTGGTACATGTACATGGTCTTGGCTGTAGCTCAATTGGAATTGTGCTGAGCTTGTATTAGAGCATTTTTTAATAAAAAGATTTCTTAATTTCTATTGCAGCTTAATCTATGAACTATAACTAAAGTAGAAATTAACTGACTAGAGGAAATGAGAAAGCTAAAATTAAATTTTGAAAAATTGAAGTTCACAACAGCACAAGACAGGTTTTAGGTTCAGAAGTGTCATAATAATACTGCTAGTAGTACAGCTTGCTATACAATACAGTGGCTACACTTCTATTTCAGGCAACAGTGTTGACAGCACATCAAAGTGACCACAAAGTTGCTAGGATCATACAAAAACCCAGTGTCAGTCATATTCCATACAATAACTATGTCTATTCAACTGTTTATAAACAGGGCTTATACTTTATGAAGAAAACCACATCACCAACAAACTAACATACAACATGTACACAAAGGAGAATGAGACTAACAAAACTGAACTAGTACAAATAGAAGTCATAAGAGAAAAGACAATAATATTATGAATGGAATCATGAGCATTGACCAATCAATGCAACTGAGGTACAGACCTAGTGATAGACTATGAACTAATTTATGGAAACATTGTAGCAGATTCTTTAACACATCATTGCACATCATTTACTAGTAAAATAGGTATAATCTCACCAGCCAGCACGATGAGACTATAAGGAGGTTACATAATAAAAAGTAATACAGCTTGTTTGTGAATCGTACCATCCAAACACGATGACACTATTAAAATATATGAAATAGTTTCACACTATATTAAGACACACGATTATTGTAACCTACTTTACCAGTAAACGATGTGTAATGATGTGCTAAAGAATCTACTACGATGATTAATTAGTCATGTTCATGTATGGCATCAATTAATCATTGTAGCAGATTCTTTAGCACATCATTACACATTGCTTACTGGTAGAGTAGGTTGCAATAATTGTGTGTCTTAAATATGGTAGAAATCGTTATATTTTTATGGTACATGTTTTAGAGGAGTGTACATGTACATTTTATACATAATTATTCAAATTAACACTATCATTATTTCCTAACTTGATGTGATGTGATCAAACTGTCTATATTCTAGATAAGGAAATTAACAATTAATAATGTAAAAAAATTTTTTTAAACTTTATTGTATCAACTCACTAGCTGGTACACTGGTACACTCAAACACTGGTACAATGGTAAACTGGTGTAGTTTATATGTTCACTGGTGTATGTATTAGATGTGGTAGGTGTAATTTCTAATGGTTGAACAATAATAAATTAGACAAAGCATAAGGTCCATAGTAATTTGTAGGTCGCTCCTATTACAGGCTATTAGACCATTGTAATAGAATGTGGGTGTGGCATAGACTGTAAAAAAACAAGCAGTGCATTTGATGAGAATAATCGAAT